CAATAGTGCAGGTTGTCTTCCTCCAATTCTAATGCTAGATTCTTCTTCTTAAAGTCTGGTTTCTCGAATAACTTGCTCAGCATAGGGATTGAATAGGTATGGAGAAAGGGTGTAGCCGTGAAGCACAATTTTCTTGATTTTAAAAGATGCCATGTTCTCTTGCTTTGTTTGAAGGATAGCGTCTTGATAGGATTGGGTTTCAAATGAGTACAAGAAAGCGATCTGGGATCCCCATTCCTCTCAATGTTAGCCATAATTTGTTATGATCAGCAATCAAGTGCCTTTTACATAGTCAATAAAACCCCCATGGACATCTTTCTCATATTCTCAGTTTTCTGCCAAGATCCATCTGACATCAGCAATTATATTCTTGGTGTCATAGCCTCTTCTAAACTCAGTTTGAGTTTTGACAGTTCTCTGTCAATTTTCATTGTTTTATACTTTTCAACAATACTTGTGTATGATAACAATTATATTATCTAATAAATTCGACATTCTTTTGGAAGACTTTTTGGGGGGATGGGAATAACATGGATCTCTTCCAGTTAGTTAGCCAGCTAGCTGTCTTGCAAATTTCTTGGCACAGAGTGATGGAGTACATCCAGGGCTGCCCGTGTTGTTGAAACATGTCATTTTGAATCCCATCAATTCCTGGTTTCTTGTCTTTTGCCAATGACTTCAGGACAACTTGAACTTCTTCCTTCATTACCATTAGTTCTTGATCATAAGCTACTTCCTAAAATAAATCCACTTCCATCCACAGTCTTTGATACAGGTACTCTGTATCACTTCCCTGTTTTAATGCTTCCTGGATCACTCAAGATTTTGCCCATATTTCTTATAAGCAGTTCTTTACCTCATCTATTTGATTGTACTGTTCATTATTTATCACCCTCTTTCTTAGTTTCTCCCCAGCCTACACGTCAATCCTGTTTTATAACAGTGACATTATACAGTATTTGTCATTTTGTGACTGATATATTTCACTCAGCATACTGTCCACCAAGGTCAATCATTTTGTTTAATATTTTATGAGTTCCTTGTTTTTCAGTGTTATATAGTATTCCATTGTGTGAATATACCACAGCTTCTCCATTCATTTGTTGGTAGGCACTTGGATTGCTTCCATTTCTTTGCTATTGTGAGCAACAGAGCAATAAACATGGGTGTGCATATATCTATTTGGATGGAAGTTCTGTTTTCTTTAGATTATATTCCCAGTAGGGTAATTGCTGGGTCAAATGCTGTTTCTATTTCCAGCTTTTTGAGGAAGTGCCATACTGCCTTCCAGAATGGTTGCACCATTTTACACTCCCACCAACACTGAATAAGGGTTGCAATTTCTCCACAACCTCGCCAGCATTTGTTTTTTAGATATCATTTTCATGACAACAGTCCAGAATAAGAGTTGCAAAGAGAACTGGGGGAAGTGGGTGTGGAGCAGAGGAAGGAAATTGTGCAATGACAGATTCTTTTTAAGGAGAAAAGTAAAGTGGGAGTGGGGAGTAGGGAGGAAAATGTTCAGCAATGAATGAATGGAAATCCAGGTTTTCAGTAAACTTTTGTTAAACTATCAATAAAAAAAAATTGAAAAAATAAAAAAGAAAGGAAACTAACCAGATTGTAAAGGGACTGTGATGAGATATAGCCTGACACAGACAGATGAAATCAGAGCCAGAGCCCTTGAGACAGAGAGAGGGCTGAAGGCCTTAAGATTGTGCAAAGGCCAGAGCCCTTGACACGGAGCCAGACTTAGAGGTTTTGCTTTTGCTGGATGATTGAAGGAAGACCTAACTTGAAATGGCTATGAAATAAAACTTGCTAAATGATTGGAAAAAAACCCAAAGATTTTGCCGATAGCATCCTTTAGCATTGTAACTTGAGGCTTGAATTTGTTTTTCAATTCTTTCAGATTGAAAAAATCTAAATTCTTCCATTTTTATTTTCCAACTCTAGCTCTTTGCACATTTCATTATGCTATTTTCTTTGTCTCCTAAAGATACCCTTTGAAATCTTCTGTTCATCTCTTACTTTTTCGAAAGTTATTTCCCTTTTGTTTTGGCTTCTGATGTTCTAGTGAAATTTTAATTATCTTTGGAAAGGTAGAGAGTCAATAAAAAGGAAAAAGAACCTCAACAAGATAGATTGGCACAATGTGCAATATACTCGAGTATGTTAGGGATGATGAGGATGGCACAGGATAGGAAAGGTTCAGATTTATTGTTCAGAGGATCCTATGAGTCATAGTGGACTTGACATTGCTACTACAGTTAACCAGGAAATATAATCCTTTGATGTTGTCTTTGTTATTTGCCATTGAGTCACCTGCAACACAAAGTGATCCTACACACAATAGATCTGAACTCTGTGCTATCCTAGGCTAATCTCACTGTCTCCAATACACCTACCCTATAACCACAATTACTATATCAATCCATCTTCGCCAGGGCTTTCCTCTCTTGCGCTATCCCTCTACCCTTCAAAGGATGATGTCCTTCTCCAAGGACTGGTCATTCCTAGCAATGTGCCAAAAGTATGTGAGACAGAATTTCAAAAATCCTTACCTAAAAGGAGAATCTTAGTTTTACCCCTTCCAGGACAAACCTATTTTGTTCTCTTGGCAGTTCATGGAATATTCAGAATTCTTCTCCAGCACTACAAGTCAAAGGCATCCATTCTTCTTCTATTATCCTTATTTGTTGTCCAGCTCTCTGATGCATAGCAAGTAATTTCAAAGACCATGGCCTGGACCAGGGACACCTTAGTTTCTAGACTAGTATCAATGTTCTTTAGCACTCTGGAGAGGTCCTTGACAGCAGTTTTCCCAAAGCAATTTGTCTTTTGAATTCATGACTGCTGGTGTCAAGAATGTTGATTGTGGAACCTAACAAATGAAATGGTTAACAACTTCAGACTTTTCTCCATGTTTTATGGTGCTGCCAATAGGCCTGGTGGTGAGAATCTTTGTTTTCCTGATGTTGAGCTTTGATCCTTATTGAATACTGCAGTCCTTGATCTTCTGCAGCAGGTGAGCTTCAGGTCCCCCTCAGTTTCAAGGTTCTATCATCTGCATAACATAGGTTGTTGATGAGTCTTCCCCCCATCCTAATGCCACATTCCTCCTCATGAAGCCCAGCCTCCTGAATGATCTGTTCTGCTTATAGATTGAAAAGGTATGGAGACAGGATGCATCTCCTTTTCTGATTTTGAACAATGCAGTGTTTCCTTGCTCTGTTCTGATGACCGTTTCCTAGTTAAAGTATAGGTTTTGCATGAGTGCAATCAGGTGTTCTGGGATTCCTGTTCTTTGTAATGTTAGCCACACAATCAAATACCTTTGCCTAGTCAATGATGCAGACATTTCTCTGATACGCTTTACTTTCAGCCACGCTCCAACTGATATTGGCTATAATGTAATTAGTGCCACTGCTTCTTGTAAACTCATGTTGTATTTCTGGTACTTCTCTACCAATGTACTATTGCAGTCAATTTTGGATGCTCTTCAGGAGGATTTTGTTTGTGGTGGTGTTTGATAATTTCCACACTTGGTGGGATCCCCCTTTTTTTTAATCAAAATAAATGTGAATCTGTTATGAGTCAGTGGGCAGGTAGTCATTCTCCAGATTTCTTGGCACAACTTAATAAGCACAACTAGGGCTTCATCTGATTGTTGAAATATGTCAATTGGTAGTCCATCAATTCCTGGGGCTTTGTTTCTTGCCAATTCCTCCAGAGCAACTTGAACTTCCTCCTTCAGCACCATTGCCTTTTGATCATATGTTGTTTCATGAAGTTCTTCAGTGTCAGCCAATTGGGAAAAGCGTATGTGAAAATGGTTTTATACTATTTCTTGAAAATCACAGATAAGAAATCTAAAAAAAAAGTTTGTGTTATCATGAAATCAACTCTCAAGAAGACTTTATCTTCATTGTTTATGCTCTTTGAGATAAACTGAATTGTAGAGTGAATTACTTAATCCATACATCAATTTTATTTTCTCATAATAATGATTTGTGTATTATTTGGTATAAAATTACCCACTGCCTGATTTCAGCCTATGCTAAGATTTTCTGCCTAAAAACCACCCTTCTATCCATGGACAACTAATTTAAATTTACATATATCTAAAATGAAAATTATCTTTGTAATAAAAAATGTGTACATAAGTTTATAAAGTAAGTTACATAGGATGAACAATGTTTAACCAAATTAAGCAAGGGGATTAACCTTCTAACTCTTGAAATTATTTTAGCATTGCTATTTTTATATTTATATACTTTACAAAGGGAAATATTAATCTTATAAAGCAATCCTTGGCAGAATCACTACTTTTAATCATGATCACATAAAAGAATCAACAGAGAGGAACATCATGCTTTGGAAAGTGGAGGGACAGCAAAGGAGAGGAAGACCGTCAGTCAGGTGAATTGACACAGTGACTGCAGTAAAGGGCTTGAGTGTGCCAGAGATTTTGAGACTGTCACAGGATAGAACAGGGGTTCTGACTTGTTGCTCATTGGGCCTCTATGAGTCATGCTCAACTCAACGCACCTAACAACAATACAGCTACCTTTGGGAAACATTTTCATAGATAATTTATTAGGAATCAAAACCAGAGTTTTCTGGAATAAAGAAAAAATTCATTTTCAAGTCAGTGATTTTAGCAAATGTGGAAGTTGAGCCAGAGCCTAATTCTTTCATTCAGCAAAATATTTACTAAACCTCCACTGGGTTGGTTGCTTAGTGATAAGGATTTGAGCTGCCAATATAAAAGCACATGTTTCAAATCCACCAGTTGCTCAGTGGGAGAAAGATGGGCAATCTCCTCCTGTGCAGTTTATTGCCTCTGAAAACTTGCTGGAGGGTCAAGTGTCAGTCAATTCTGACTGAACAGTGCATAACAACAGCAATAGTGATAGAGAATAAGGATACCTTGTTCTCTTACTATAGAATAAGCAAGATACCTTAAAACGGAAATTTTAATTACTGTCTTTCTACAGGTCATACAACTGGCCTTTCATTGAATAATGACCGACTGTACAAACTCACATATACCACTGAAGTGTCTCTTGATCGAGGCAAAGGGAAACCCCAAGACACTGTAGGATACCGAATTTCATCCAATGTAGATGTGGCTTTACTTTGGAGGAATCCCGATGGTGATGACGATCAACTAATCAAAATCACGGTAGGCATTTTCCATAAGGAAGGTGCAAGGATTCATTATCAGCAAAATCTTTGTGAAGTTTGTCATTTGATATCACTTTTGTGCTCCTGGCTGTATGGTTATTTGGTTTGTTATCGCTCATGGTAATAAGTGCTTTTATAATATTTTTTGTTGTTTTGTTAGTCAATTGGTTTAATCTTTATAGAAGGCAAGAGAAAAAATATTGGAAGTTTATGTTCAGTTCTATCTATTGTTTAAAAAGAAGCATTTTATTATAACCCACTCAAAATGTCCTATTTTATATGAAAAACAACTGGGGCAACTTTAACTGAAAGAAGAAAAACAAATTGGGGAAGTACACGAATTCACAGTATTTATTTTAAGCTCAAAGTCAGATTTTCTTAAGAATGAATACCTTTATTCAAGTCAAATATCTAAATTTTAAAAGTAATCAAATATTTTAAATTATTGGTTATATCTTTTGAATCATAAGTGGAAAAGACCAAAATTTGTGACTACATTCCATCTATTCCTTTACCAATTTATTATCTTAGAGATCACTATAGAAACAGACATGGAACGTCCCCCCTCCTCCCAGACATGGAATAATCAACTTTCTTTTTAAATTTCTTTTTCCAGATAAATGATGTGAATGTAGAAAATGTCAATCAACAAAGAGGAGACAAGAGTATTTTTAAAGGGAAAAGTGTACCCAAAATCATAGGAAAGGAAAATTTAGAAGCTCTGCAAAGACCGGTGCTTCTTCATTTAATCCATGGGAAGGTAAATGTGGTTTTTGAGTTTCTGAATTTTTTTTCTTCAACTTCAAATTTTTCTTTCTTCCAGTAGATCTTAATTTTTTAGTTAATATTAGTTTGCAAACAAAATTCATTACATTGTGTTTAGGTTATATACATTGTGTTTCACACATCTCTCTATTCACATTGTCTTTCATATGATCATTCCCATACATTGTGTTTTAGAATAGCAACCACCAGTACTCCGTCTTTTCAGATCCCCACTGGATTTTTCTTAATTCCTCCGCCCCCTCCCTCTCTCCACCAAACTTTGTGACACATGACTTCTCTCTCTCTCTCTTCCAGTCCTCCTTCCTCTTCCCGCTTTAGACTTATGTCCATAGGGTCATTATGCATCACAGGCGATGCAATGGCATACTATGACAGATTTGCAAGCAGGAGTGGCATCCACTTCCTAAATAACATGCCTCTGGAAACTCTATGAACTTTGATAAATGTTGATAGTTGTAGAGTGGCTTCAGGCCTTTTATTCATAGGGTCACTATAAGTCATACTCAACTCGAAGGCAATCCAACAACAATAACAACAATAACAACAATAACAACAACACATCTTGCTGGTAAGCCTGCTATTTTTCCAATAATGGTCTTGGGCAGTATTTGTCCTTTTGAGATTTAAATGGTTCATTCAACCCAAAGATGTTATCCAAAATACTTAACCCTTTCCAGACCTCTATTTTTTTGAGGAAGTAATTGTCTAATTATTTTTATACTAAATAGATTTTTTAAGAATTAATAAACAGAAGTTAGAAATTAAATATTCTCAAAATAAACAAACACACTTCATTCCCTTAACATTTTCTAACTGTTTTTATTTTTTTTTTCTAACTATTTTTGTTTCGTACTTTTTTTTATTGGTTTGCTTACAAAGTTCGTATACATTGTGTTTCACACTATTCCTCTTTCATATTGTGTTTCATACAGTCATTCTCATGCATTATGTTTTATAAAATTAATCACCAGTGGACATTCCCGTTTCTTTCTCTCGTCTTCCTCCCCTCACCAAGCTTTGCAACCCTGTGTATCTGTTTTTAGGAAAAATTTTGTAGCAAATTTAATTATTTATTTACATCATTAAAGGGGCATTCTGTAATTGTTGTTATGTGACATCGAGTCACTTGCAACTCATAGCGATCCTATGTACAAGAGCCCTAAAAGTCGCTCTATCCTCTGCCAACCTCGCCATCATAAACACATTCATTCCCACCAATCCACTCACAGAATAGATCCATCTCATCAAGGGTCTTCCTCTCCTGCACCGTCCCTCCACTCTCCCAAACATGATGTCCCTCTCCAAGGACCAGTCTCTTCTTGCAACATGCCCAAACTATGTCAGATGAAGCTTCAGAATCCTTGACTCCAAGGAGCATTCTGGCTTTACCCTCTCCAGGACAAACCTGTTTTTTCTCCTAGCAGTCCATGGTATACTCAACACTCTTCTCCAGCACCACAGCTCAAAGGCATCAATTCTCTATCATCCCTATTCACTGTCCAATTATCTGATGCATAGCACGTAATTGCGAAGACTATAGCCTGGATCAGGCACACCTTAGTCTCCAGTCTGATGTTGTTGCTTCAGTACTCTTGAGAGGTCCCTCACTGCTGACTTTCCCAATGCAATGTGTCTCCTCATTTCCTGGCTCCTGTTACCAAGAGTGTTGACTGTGGAACCAAGTAAACGAAAACTGTTAACTATCTCAATCTCTTCACCATCCATACTGATTCTGCCAGTTGGTCCAGTGGTGAGAATCTTTGTTTTCTTGATGTTGAGCTTCAATCCATATTGGAGGCTGCAGTCCTTGACTTCCTGCAGCAAGCGCTTCAGGTCCTTCTCAGTTTCAGCAAGCAGGGTTGTATCATCTGCATAACGCAGGTTGTTGATGATTCTTCCACCAATCCTGATATAAACTAGGAAATATTATTCAAATCATATAGTAGATTTTTATGGTATGAGTGCGTAAATTCAGGAAAGAAGACAAATGATGGAAATGAAAGAATGTAACTTTGATATGTGAAAAAATCTTGTCATGATAATTCCAGAATTTGACTAAAACACAAGGCTAAGGCCTTTGAAAGAGTGTGACATTCTAAAACATGATTGAATTTTTATAAAAATGTTCAGTAATTTTTAAAAGAATTACAAGGGTCAACTATGAGTCAGTTTTGGCTCTACAGTAAATTGTAACAACAATATGCCTTTAAAAAGCATTGTTTATATTAAAGTAATGAATGAGCACACTATTTTATCCATTTTGGAAATCTGCTCAGAAAATTCTTCAAGTGTACACTACTTTTGTTTTGATTCGATAAATGTAGATTCCACACATTTCCAATTGAAAAGCAATAGTGCTCAGGGAATTATTAGGTATTACATATTTGTTTAATGAAAATACAAATATTGTATTGATATAAACATAATGTATCAGTGAAGATAAAAATTCAACTTTAGGAACCACAGTGAATAAAAAAGATCTGTACATTTTTAAAGTTAAGCTTTTAGGTAAGACTTAAATATTAAAACAAATATATGAAGTATATAACTCAGACACCTCATCTATTTGCTAATCATGATCATGGTTATAAAACATTTTTATAAAGTTATTAAGAAGGGACTCACAAGAAAACTACTGTCATCAGGTCTCCCATAATCTGATATTTCATCAATTTCAGAATTACTTTCTCTTCTTTGCCACTTTTGAAAATACTATGCTTCAGGCTTTGTTCATAGGCTCTTTGTTTTATAGTTTCATGCCAATTCAGTCAGTTGGAAATCTCTACTTTAGAACTCTCTGAGTCCTTTGTAGTTCATTCATGGTCCTTATCCCTTTCTTTTGGTCCTTTGTTTTCATAGGTAGATTTGGTTTGGGTAGAGAAAGTTTCCATTCCTTTTTTTTTTTTTTTTTAAATTTTGTCTTAGCTCCATCTTTCACTCCTCCACGATCTTGCTGCCCATGAAACCCAGAATCTTGCCTTGCTTTGACTGACTCAGTATTCCACGTGGATTTCTCCAACTACTTAGCCTCATAGCTTAGCGGGCTTATTTATAGGACAATCTTCATGACAGTGAATTTCTTATACTCCTGATTTTCCTGCCATTTCCACTCAGGATAAGTTGCTTCTGGGCAGTTATTGTGTCTTTATACTTAGCATCTTGTTCACAGTGGAAATGTTCATAAAAATAAATGAACTAACCAGGTTACATGAGACTAAAATGAGTGGGACTTGGAGAAAAGTTTTGTTTCTTGTTTAATAATGGCCAAAACATACTTCACACTTAAATATGTGCCAGGCTGTGATAGAAAGCATGACATTAATTATCTCTTTTCTCTCAGTATAGTACTCAGAACCAGGCATTATTTTATCATCCTCTTATAATAAGGAAATTATGTTGTCATCCTCTTATGATAAGGAAATCAAAGTTGAGCAAAGTTAAGAAATTTACTCAGAATCACATAAGTAGCAAATGGTGGAGCTGAGATTTGAAACAGATGTTTGAATTTCAGTGATCATGCTTAAAACCTACATATGAGATTATCTTTTAACTGTAAATGGGACAATATTGGCCCTTTTGGTTATCCCTATAGCGTTTTCGTCCATTATTTGTTCACTTACTTTGCTCAGATACAATACATACAACTTTGTTAACACCATAAAATACTGTCATTTTCTCTTCTGGGCCTCCAGTGTAACAAGACACAGTGCCCATAAAATATTAATTGCATTTATAATCTTAATGACAACCAACCACTTTATGGCTCCTTGGGTAGCAGCTGAGTACAAAGTCTTTTGTTACGCATATAAAGGACACGGTGCCCTGACTGTTCAAAGGCTGAAATGAACTGCCACATCATTATGTATGTCAGTGACTCCAACATTTCAGTTCTGGAGCTGTGATGATTTACTGTGGCTGTGATTTTATAGGTTAAAGTACATTGTGATATCTTTAAACTATGTGATAAAGTACTTGAGGGGGAAAATATTACCCTGGAGAATAAGAAACCATGGAGAATTTTAGCCACACCACTGACAGAAAGAGCACCACTTAACTATAATTTCATTCTACTCTGAAAAATCACGAGAAGGCTTAGCTAGACTGCCAATGAGCAATTTTCTTGGTGTTTTCTCTCCTTAACCCAAATTTAGTTTTATACCCAGAAAAGTCTATGTTTTTCAAAGATGCTCATCAACATGTATTATTTTTCTCCTTCCAGAGGCCCCGTTTTGAGCTCCCATATTTGCATTATAAAAGAAAGCCCCTCAAAACACGGAGATGCATATTCATTACACATCTTTTTTCTTATGCCTTATCATTTTCCCAGCACAAGTTTTTGGGCATGACTCTTTGGTGTTATTGACAAATCAAAAGCCAGGTTTGGAACTGGACAGTTATCTGGTTAAGTTTATTGATAGTGGCAAGCAAAAGATGCCCCAAGCTATAGTGTGGATTCTTTTCTAGTCTGAAATGCTAATCCAATTAATTGGATAATTACCAGATTTCCAATTCTGATTTTCACTGTCTGCATTGATTAAATTAACCACCTGGCAGCTGAGCCTGCCTTTTGTTTTCTGGTTTTTTCTGAGTGTTGATTTGTTCCTGGAGTCTAGCAATGGGAGTCTGAATACACTGATTCTTTAAAGGAAGTATAACATTTTGAAACCCTTCTGATTTCCCATCTAGCTCACCTGTTTATTTTCTGATTTTCTATTTCCTAGCTACACTCTGTCTTAGGTGCATTTTGAAGATACATGCAATAGTGTAATTCCTGCTCATTTGAATAGGAAGCATGATTGATTTCTGTGTTGGGGATTTTTGGGGGGAGTTAGGAGAATTCCTTTTTGTTCAACTGTGTGCTGTTTGGTCAGTTGATGGAAATTTCCCCCTCTCATTCTTTTTGTTCTTTTTTTAAATGTGGGTTTATTTCATATTCGTTTATCTAGATTTCATTCATGTGCATTGTGCTTCACA